TCTTTAATTCAGTTTTTCTAGATATCTTTAATTTATCTACGTTTTTTTGGAAGACCAAAACTCCTGTCGTTCCATCGAAACATCGCGCATCAAAAAGGAAGTGGCTGTCGAATGAAACTCGCATTATTTACAGGACACCTCCATGATCGATGTGATCTTCTCAGTGAATACAACGTCAAAGAAATATACTTGGAGTGTTCTTTTTCATCAGTTGGATGTTGCAAATAAAAAGGAAATCCTCGATGATGTGAACTTGACAAAATTCAACTTTACAAAATCTTTATACAAATGATATATATCTTCTCCTAAATTATGAATTCAACATAGCAACATGGAAATTTGAATGAGTAAAGGCAATTACCGCTGAAAACCGCTAATTAATTGTGTAAATGAAACTTTAAAAATTCATTACAATACGAGAGAAATTTCCAATGTTTTTACAATGAGTTTTGTATGCATTGTATGGTCGTTATTGACGTTTTCATAGGGTTCAAAGGCGAAAAATCTGATCGTAAGGTATCGTTTCGCAATAATAGGATGTTGGCATGGGCACAGTTCGAACGAAGCAAATATCCGAGCCGTTCAGCTGCGAATCGCCCGGTTTGATCTCATAAAATGTACACGGTCGATCACCGTATCCAGGCACCAACAGATCGAAGAATGTGGTTCCAGCTTCAAGTGCTTCCATTGAATGAAGATTACCGCGTTCTGGATCCAAATGTACGCATTCGTCTTCACTATTCCTTTTGATTGTACCTTCATATCTTGAAATTTCATACGTTTCACACATCAAAACAAGAATTACAGTGAACAGAACTTCCGAGAGTGCACGAGCACTTTCGCATAGTGCAATTGCATATGTATTTTCCATTCTTGAACGACTAAGAGCGACTTTCAAGCTGATGGTGGATATGGAATGAAAGAGGACGGCCGTAATTCACTGATGAAATGATGCACAGATATCTTCAACTGTTGCGCATCGTTCATCAATATGCCAGTAAGATTCACGTATCTTTGTAAATCTGTGGTGTATTTGACTAGAATTTGCATGCGGTGAGCAGAGTCGAATTCATCAGCAATAATGACACTTGAATGTAAGCTGCAACAATCAGTTGCAGCTTGTGAACCTTTTGTGATTCTCAAAAACGCTATGATCTCTAAATTTTCTCAAGGTATTAAATGAATTTTCTGGTTACCTGACAGGTCGCCCATAGAATGAGCGAATAATATTTCTGTTGCATTCACGTTGCTCGTCGTCTTCGGACAACCACGAATACGACGAGACTGTCATCGAGCCACGAATCACTTTCACGAATCCGTGCATTCTCGAGTGATCGTGCAAGGGCATCTGAACGGCTTTCCGGGTGAAACCGAACAGACAAGCGTGCATCAAATGATCCTCGTAGATGTCCGCGTAATGGAACGGTGCTTTTGTATAGCTGAGCACTATGTCGTCGGGCAGTTCAATGGCGAGCACTTTCGCTGTTACCTGATTCATTAACGCACACAAATCGGACACAATCGTTGAGGTATCACTTGATGTCGAACATGTTACCGTACTTGGGCTTGATTTCGCACTAGAGAGAATCGAGAGACGATGCGCTAAATGAGATGCATTTTTCAAAAAGTGTCGCAGTGCATGACGTTCCATCATCACTAAGCTATCTTCATGCATAAACTGCAAACAGAACCTGCAATCAAAACATGAATTTATTCTACAATAGAACGAAATGTGTGCACACTGTTTGCAATCAATCAGTGTTTTTGAGAAAACAATTCGAATGTGATCACATATCACGTTTCGAGGAAGATTAATTTTGTTGAATGGCGACAATGTGTAACAAAGCGATTTTATTGCTGCTGCCCGCAACTGATAGAGACTGCGCGACATTTCAACTGCGCTATCAGGAGAACAACCACACTGTAGAAGTGAACAAGCAAAATTCATAGGAAAAGTAATGCCTTAAATTCACTTCAGCCTAAAGTTACTCACGCATTCGCTTCTTTATCAAAACGATATTCTCGCCATCGTTTTCTTTTGCTAAACAGAAACATTGTTCCAATATTAGTTCCCATCTTTTACCGCAGTTCACTTATGAAAAGCGTTTTTACTGCCTTAAAAGTTCCCACTTTCCAGTGTTGCTTAATCTGTCTGAACGAGCGACCACCACAACGTCTCCTCTCACTAAACACATGTTCAACAATGGATACTTGAAGCCATTTCACTACGTAATGCGAAAAAAAAACGTTTATTTCAAACCAATTTTATTATGCGTACGTGGTTTCGATCACTTCAACAAACTCACATTCTCATGTGCACAACAATATGAGTACAAATTCTTTTCTATCGAAACTTCAAAAACAAAACAGTGAAACTAAGTCGTTGATTCGAAATTGAAATGTAAAAAAAGAACCGATTCGAATCGTAGGAATTTAAGTATAATCTTTCTTCTATAGGACACTCCTTAATGCGAATATCTCTTCAGGAAGAGCTCAATTTATTCTCGAAGAGAACGCATTCTCTGAGGATATTGCAACTTTCAAGATGTGCAAAAGCGAATCGTGAATGAGGCTTATAACTAAATAAGTTTGGCATCATCTAATCAACATCGCACAGAAATGGAATCACTGAAACGAATAAACAAACAGCCTTGAGCATCACGCAAACATTTATAAATACACTTGACAGCACCAACTTATTACAAATTCTCAACAGTGAAACGTAAAAAAA